ACTTCTTAACACGTGAGTGCTTGACTTTGCATTCTTAATGGTCTGTTAACATAGGTTTTATTGTACTTAATAACATGCTGATCATTCTACTGATTTCTTTAGGCTGTGGGTAGCTCAGATTGACCTTCCTCAGCTCTTACAAATCTACCTTCCTGGGGGGGAGAAGTCTTGGAAAATGAGTTCTTGGAGCAGGTATGGTTCAACACCTTTTACCAGGATTACACAATATGACAGTATATTAGTAAGCATCATAGGCTATTGCATATACTGAGTTAGTCAAGACCATTACTGCACATTGAGAAGTCCAGTGAGGTTTTACTGGTCAGCTCCATTTTGTTCCAACACCACAGATACCTTAGCTTCACCCTGGTAGTGGCCATTATATAACAAATCACTTGTGTATGCACGCATCTTTTGTCATCTTTTTTTGCCTAGCAACATTAAACTTCATCAACTTTTTAACAATATAGAACACCTACTCCCAACTAGCATGACCAATAGGTGAATATGCCTTCCCAATAGTGGATCTAAAATTTTGAAAAGTGGGGTGCGGCCAGGACTGGACTCATAGCCCCCAGATGATAACAGGACTCAGCAGGTGCTTCTGGCTACCTGCCCAGCTTGAGAAGAGGGGTGAGCAGTTTGACTTCATTAGGATCAGTCCCTTGACTCCTGGGGAAAGATGACAGGAGTGAAGGAGGAATTAAATTAGTGGGTACAACTGCACTACCACACACATACCCTCCCCATGATCAACCCCCATGCCAATGTCTTGGTAATTTTTCATTAGTCACCTTTCCCAGGGCACTTTACCCTGGTACTTCAGGAGTGTTTATTGGATGTGTTAATTTTTCATTTTAAATATGGAATGCCTTCATACGTTACCTTTTATTTAAGAATCTAAACTGGGAAAACGACATATTACCTAGCTACACTAGAAACGATTTATGACCACTTGGGCTGGAGTTTAACAAGAGACCGTTACTGCTTTTTTCCGCTACTTGGTTTGGCTTGCAATTTGAACAGTTTTTTTCTTTGAGCCCACCAGTGCCAGGATAGCTTTCCCTTTCATTCAACATCAAATTTAGAAAACTCAACTCATTGGAATTAAATTCTTCCTATTGCTGAAAGCTGAAAAAGGTTTTAAGTTTATCTTGAACTAAATTAGCTTACATTTTGTCTTCATTTGCCAGGGGTTTTTTTCCACAGGGCTCAGCAAAAGAGTAGCAAGATGAGTTATCTCAAACAAGATGTATGTCTTTGCGGGGGAGCGGGGTTTCATGGGAAAAAAATTATTTTCTCTTGAAAAGGGAAAAATATGAAAGCAATTAGTAGACAAGACAATAATTCAAGATATAAATTGTCATCAAAATAATGTGCAGCATCTGGAAAAAGAATTCCTTGTGATAAGGCAAATGAGACTGCAACTCAGACACTCTGGATTCAGTTTCCAAGTTTGAGCAGGACTTTAGACAAGTCATTTAAGGCTAGATTCGGTAAAGGACTTGGGCATCTGAACCAGAATTTAGGCAGTATAGAGATGTCTAGATCCAAAACTGAGATCCAAACATCTCATTCTGGTGCCTGAGTCAAAATACTTAACTGAATTTTTATCTAATGCCTGTTGAAGGTAAAATTATAGAAACGGTCCTGGGAACAAGATCTGGAATTCTCTCAGCCGAGTGTCCTGCCCATCTGCCCTGTGTGCTCTGTTTCTAGCCACAGGAATCGTGATATTTTTTTCTGTACGATGACACAGCGTCAAGAGGAGACATGGAGAATTCTCACGCTAGCCTAGCCTATAGCCTGGTGCCCTGGGCACTCTCCTATGTGGTGGGTGATGAAAAGGGATATAAAGCCAGGTGCCCCACTTCCTAGGCAACTGTTTGAACATTAGATTTATATCTAAAAACTGTGCAGGTACTTGAAGCAACCCTGTTTTGAAAGAAAAGAGCAAGAGCTTCCAAATATTCCCATCCCCTGTAGAGGATCCCAGAGTCTGCTTCCAAACTGGAATTAGAGGTTTGCCAAAAGCCCTGATTCAGGAACCCACACTTGTCTTCAGGGTGCAATTTCAGGCACCTCTCCATGCTCAGTGCTTCCTATAGACTGGGTGTAGGTGTCTTTCTGCTCAGCCTTCAGGATTCACTGGTCTGAGGAGCATCATTCTCCCCATGCATGAAGTGGGGAGCCTAGGCACCTGGCTCCAGATTCTGGAGTGAGCTCCAAGGGCCAGGACCCAAAAAATTTGGCACTGCAACATCTCACTTGTAAGTCCACTATCCGATCTCTCTCTGTGACTCAGTTTTTTATGAGTAAAATAAACATAATATTATGTCCTTCATTCTTAGATTTCAATATCTTTGGACCACATGTGTATGGTTGCTTACTATGTGCATGCCTTGTGTCTGGTATAATAGAGCACCACTCTTTTATATATGTAACTTATGACCATAAATAATAACTCAGATATTTCCAAAGCTCCTTAGAAACCTCAAAATACTTATACGAGGGAGATGATCTTTACAACTATTTTACTATTCAAAACACATTACTGATATAGAGAAGTCTCATAACAAACCACTGGTTGACATGTTGAGAGTTTTGCAAAGAGACTTCAGAAAAATAAATGTTGAGACTTTTATGTTATGTTTCATGTCCTCTAAATGTTGAGACTTCAGTAAAATACCTTTCATCCACACAGACAAATGTCAGCCAGTGTACTCTGGGGTGGTTGGCATAATTGATTTACTGCAATAGCTGGGATAAGAGTTTTAGCTGAACCAGGTCACTTGACAAAAGTTTCTCCCATTCCATTACTTAATGTTTGCCCATTTTTAGCGATCCATCCCAGAATACAGTGCCTATAAAACAAGATTTTTGTACCATAGTTTCCCATATACCTATGCCAATCATCCTGTAAGGCACTTCTTCAGGAAATTATGAGAGGCCTGTCACTCCCTGCACGAAGCTAAAGCTCATCAGCCTGCATTTGTAAGAGACCACTGAATTATTTTTCTAGAAGGCAAGCACGTTTGGGAAACACTTTAAATTACTGATATTCTGAAGGTCAAGTGCTCTGTCATTCTCCAACTAGTTGGAGTATGAGTTCTGTACCAAATGGGTCCAGATGAAAAACCAAGTTCAACCAATCAGAGGCACACATGCTTTCAATCATTTTCCAGGCCAGTGCCTTGTCTTTTATACACATCAACACATCCCTCCAGCTAGTGCCTCAAGTCCTTATATGTAGTAACAGCACTGAGCTCTCAGGGCTGTTGTGTAGATCAATACATAAAATACTTGGACAAGGTGCTCAGATAGTACAGTTCTAATGACCAAGGGCCACAGATAAGGAATGGGATTATACAAAACCTGTTTGTAGTAACACTAAAGAAAAAAGATTTACACAACAAAAAGATTACACAAATATTAACAAAGGTGCCTCCTTGAACAGCTAAAATAATGAGGAAAATTATCTCATCAGATTGAAAGGTTGGAATCACAGAGCTATCAAGGAAAATGAAGATTTCTTGAATAGGAGTGAAGAGGCTGGCACTGGAAAGGCCAAGGGGAAAAGATGAGACGTGGTAGCATGTGACTATTAAAAGAAAGAGGGGTCCCAGAATTCAAGAGAAACAGATTCAAGTCAGCAACCACTTTCAAGCACTCTGCAGTGGAGCCGCTGAAGAAAGGGCAGAGGTAAGGACATCAACAGGGAAGACCCAAAGGACTCAGCCGTCAAGGGGGAAGCACAGGGCCCCAGAAGTGAGAGCCCTAAAACCACCTCACCATAAAGAAAGATAAAGAGTGGTGGTGGTTGATGACTCCTTCTGCATGGTAAAGAAGCACGAATTTGTCATCCAGATTTGGGGTCCAGGGAGGTATACAGTCTGCCTGGAGCCTGATTTCAGGATTTCACAGAAAAACTGTCAGAGCTTATCCACTACACCAGAGCTTTCCAAACTTTTCATGTTGGTGACACACTTTTTAGACATGCATCATTTCGCGACACAATAATTCAGTTCCGGGGGAGGGGCCAAGGGAAGCAGACGCGAGTAAAGGAGCTCCGCGGTGCCCTTCCGCAAAATTTTCTGCATTCCGCACGACACACCTACACACTGCCGCCGACACACTAATGTGTCGCGGCACACAGTTTGGAAAGCTCTGCACTACACTTTCCTGCTTGTCCATGAAGGCACTGGCATGGGCCAATGCTCACGCTGGAACTGAAACCTGGAGGTCCCTGGCTAGAAGGTTTTGCCCCCCTGCTCAAGGTCAGACCGATTTCCACATTTGGGGTCAGGAAGGAATATTATCCCATGCCATGCTCAGATTGGTATGCACTGTGTGGGCTTGCGCCTTCCTCTACAGCAGGGGGTGTAGCCTCCTTTTAGGTCTCTCAAGAGTATTTTAGCAGCCTTTGCAGCAGCAGGATATTGGTCACGGTTCCCCCTGCGTTGCCTGTGGCAGACTAAGGTGTTATGCCTTGTGGTTGTGTCAGGGTTGACTACGTAGTTCTGCTAATAACTATGTAGTTCTGCTAATAGGGATGATCTTGTCTCAGAGGGGTGGACTAGATGACCTCTGGAGGTCCCTTCCAGCCCTACTTTTCTATGGTTTTTATGATGCAACAGTTTCTGTCAAATTTTTCATCTTCAGGTTTTATAGAGTATAGACAGACACCACTTAGCATATTGATTGAATGAGTTCTACTAATAAAGTTCAGGCAAGTAAAAACACTTCCACACCCCCCTGCACATTTTTACTGTTTATACTCCCATATTGTTTTTTACACTCTTTAGGTTCCCATGGTGTCCAGTCTGTGCCTGAGTCAGAAATGCATCATCATTATTTCTGGGAAAACATTGTGTCCTTGGGTGTCTATCACTGGGAAAAAAATATAATGCAATGGATGTAGGTCATTGGAAACGAAGGGTGCTTGAGATCTTGCTGAAACATAAAAAAGCTTTCCTGGAACAGAGGAATAAGAAATTAGACCATTTAATTTTAGATGCTTCATTGAAAGGGCACAGCTGCTCAGTTCATTTGTCCACCCAGAAATAATATGCAAGAAGCAGAGGGCAGTGCATTAGTGCTGGGAAATGGACTGGGCAAAATTTAATCAATTCAGCAATTAAACAGACTGATTTTCTTGCTAAAGAAGTATATTTACTATAAAAAAATGAGCTAATATTTTTTCTTCAACTCAGTTTGTACAGGAGCACAAGTTGCTAGGTATGTGCCTAAGTACAGACACTACCTCACCCCTTCTGACCCCTTCCAAGGCTTCTGGTGAAGGGCCCTTCATATTACTGAGAAAGGAATTTGGGACAGTTGGAAACTGGTTCATACATTTTTCCATTCGTGCTCTTCATTGTGGGCAGTCATTACCAGGTCTGCTCTACAACTTGGCTGCCCCCTCCCCCAGACTGGCCACAACAGCTAGTTTTATAGCATTTGCCAGTTGCTCATCTATTTCTCAGCTTGCTCCTACCTACCCATTCCTCCCTGCTCCCCAACCCCCTTCGTAATTTACCTGCTGAAACCAACGTCATCAGTTTCTCCCAATAGCTGCTCTTGCGGACCTGACTGACGTAACTCTGAGGAATGAAAGAGGTGGAGGAGGAGGGGTTGTTTTTGTTGTTTTGCTTTATATCATAGCAGCAGTAATGGCTTTCCCCAAATCAATAAAACCTCATCTCAAGACTTCTAGGCCTACATTTAATATTGCTATAGCTCTCACCCTACTAAAGCTTGCACGTGGCATGCAATATGTGACAAAGACAAAAATAGGAAACACACAAAATTAATTCTGTGGGCTTCTATCCTCTCGTGCAAGCAAGCCCTGCTCCATTTCTGACGTAATGTGAGATGTGACAAAAAAGGGATGGGGACATCAAATTCACGTGGAGACTAAAGTCAACTGTTACTTGAGAGAAACGAATGCAGCCCCCTGGCAGACCCCTCAGAGCTTTCACCAATGCTCCATCCTCCTCCTCACAGATGTGATGAGTTGTGTGCAAGCTACCTCAGGATGCAGGTGCTCTCATTGTGGCGAAAGGGTTAATGTGATCCTGAACCCAGATCGGAGTGGTTATTTGTATGGTCACTGATATTTAAGGCTGCATTTCTAATTTGTAAGGGCAACCAGCTAGTTAGTGGGGCTTTGAAGACTACTGCACCTAATAATTTCCAAACCAATGTTTATCTACATGGAAGACACAGGATGTTTAGTGTCTGTCTGCTAACATTTAACAGTTACCAGAAATCATGCAGCCCTCTTTTTACCATTATTTGGTAGTTCTTATAAGAAAAACTGAATGAATCACTTTGCACTATATTTCACCAGAAAATTTCAATCATATATTGATGGCCTATGATAAAGGAATTAATAAATAGGCTTATGGGAGTGTGAGAAGGAAATCGTGATGATGGCCACAGAACTAAATCTCAAACAGATGATGTTGGGAAATAAAAAATTCTTCCAGAGTCGTAGACAGCCATAAACTTGCAAAAAAATTATCTTTAAAAATGCACATAAAACTTAAACTAGTTGCTTATGAACTTCTGGTTTTCTTCTGCCAGATTTTTAATAAGAGGAGGTGCCCAATAGCAAAGGACAAGCATTAAAGATTTATGTATTTTATTATAGGTTTAAACACAAGGAGTAGTGGGGCATTGCTGCTAAATATTAGGTTTGTAATATAATGATATTAAAGAAGGTAGAAAGGCCTTGCATGTTAAAAAATCCTTTCTGAAAATAGGGCAAGGTCCTCTCAAGAGCAAAATAATTCACAAATTGCCATGAAATGTCTGAAGTACAAATGAGGCAACAGATCATATTAATCAATGCTGAATGCCTATCAGTATATCAAAGAGAAGCCAAATTGACAGTGCACTGGGTGCACTGGCTGAGGATAATATAACCCAGATGATTTCACAGCTCAGTTATTATAAGTGATCATGCGTTGCTAATTCTCAGTTAAAAAAGAAGAAAGAAGTAGAGTTAAAGCAATTAATAGAAGCTGTGTCAAACTGGCAAAACAAATTAAATCAGAAAACTTTGATACTAACAATACAAGTCACATGTAATTAATAATCTAGTTTACTAATATCAGTAAGAAAGATAGTAAGTTAACTATAGCCCATGTGGGTTCTAACATTAATTAGAAAGCTTCAGATCTGATGCAGCTGTGGTATAATCCTTCAAACCTCTTGGCCTATCAACTTCTATTAAGAAATGTTGTTACATTAGAGCCTGTTCTAAAACCTTTGGACATGAATAGAAAGGCTCCCATAGGAATGGAGAATTTAGAACTACATATCTGCTGCATTTTCTCTTTTGAATTTACCTACCCCTCAGAACCTAACAGTTTTACGGCATCAACTTGAATCCAAGATGAGGTCTTTTCCCCTCGTTCAACACAGAGAAAAGGCCCCTCACCTTGGATTCAAGTACAAGGTGGGGTGGCAGGCAGCTGCTACAGCTTCAGCTCTGCCTGTGGCTCAGGGTCAGGGTTGGAGTCAGAGCAGCAGCCATTGCCCCTCTGCAGACTCTGCACTGTGTTACTTCCACTCCCTCACTTGGTCTTCACATGGCCTCTACTCATCCACCTGTTCCCTCTGCCTCCACCCCTGCTATCACTAACTGTCACAGCTCTGGCTCTAGGCATGGAGCACGTTGTAGTTCTAGCTTCCAACCAGTCAGGCAGCAGCAATTACAGCAGCAGCTCCCACCTTGGCTCTGACTCCCACCCTGGGGCCAGGGCCCAAGCTGCTACCATCTAGCCAGGTGGGTGCAGCAGCAACTGAGGGTAAGGAGCAGTAAGGGGGAGCAATAGGGGAGACAGGTGACAGGGAGGAGACATTGGGGGGCAAAAATACTACAGAAGGGGCACATGCAGGAGGACACAGACATGGGGGGCAGCTGGCAAGGGCAAGTAGCAGGGGAGGAAAGTGGTATAGGGTAGATGCTGGAGGGTGCAGGCACTGGGGGTGGAGGGGGGAGCAAGTGACAGGGAGTCCAGGCAGCAAGGGGCATGGTGCAGAGGGGCAAGAGGCAGCAGTCAGACTCATTGACTCTCCTGCCACCTGCCCTCCCCACTGTTTTCCCTCCTGCTGCTGCTTGCAAAAAAAAGTTGGGGGAGGGGGACAAATTTAGGGTAACCCTTCAGTAATTAGATTCTGTACATGAAAAATTATAACAAATTTATAACTTCTCCATGTACACAATATAATCAATGAAGGGTCATCTTAAATTTGAAGTCATCTTGGATTCAGATAAATATGGTAAATGGGGCTGCACAGGGACTTCCATGAAATAGTTTGATTGAGTTGTTAAGTGGGGAAAACAAATACTACCTAGCAACTTGGGGAATCAGAGTTTTGAAATTCTACCATTCAAACATCAGTACTCTCTGCAACTTACATTTTTACAGATTTATTTTTTTCCTGGAGATGAGTACCTGTTGCTTTGGGTCAGCAGGAGCTTCCTATTGAAAACCAGGCCTCAGCTGTGGTTTAGCTTTCCTTGTGCCTACTGCTAAGGCAACAAACTCAGCCATTGCTAGCATGCGAGGAGCTGAACCAGGGACTTCCAAGGTAAAAGTCTGAGCTGGTGCAGTCTGAGCTAAAGCCACCTACCTGGGGTTGGAGTCGATGTACTGTCTAGGGATTAGGCTTAGATCAGAGCTTGTGTTACACATTCACCAGTGGGTTACACTGGCATGTGGCAGCACCTACCTTTAAATCAGGACCGTCCAACTTCTGAATGAGTGCAGGAAGTAGAAGCAGGAGGATTGCAGGGGAGCTTGGAGGTCATGGGTGCCTTAGGGAGAGATGTGTCAACAGGGGTAAGGGCAGACCTGTGTGGGGGAAGTGCAGGGAGCTGAGGTGGTAAAGACAGCAGGAGCCCCCCCACCATGAGTTAACCATTTGCTGGCTGACAGCTGGACAGCCCTGATTTAAATGATAAATCCCTGGTAAAACAATGGCTTTTGTTCAACTCTATTATGTAAATGAAAATAGAACAGTCACTTAAAGAAGGGGTCACAATCCTCCTGACAGCCTCTGGTGGATATGTCACACCTGCTTACGTGTTCCTATTAATAAGATATTATCCTAAGTCTTAGTTGCAGTTACAGGAAACATCTGCTTCTCACACCTTCTGTGCTTATGGTAGCTGGCAACAAGAATATCTGTTTATGTATGTGACTATAGAAAATTGTAGGTATTGCAGTCACTGAAAGGCTTTAGCTGTTCATGATTATAGTCTTGCTATAAATAAAGTTAAGAGCATGAGCAAATGTTCCCCTCACCACTTGCTGTAATCTGTCCAGCGCAATGAAAACACAGAATGGCTAGAGTCCCCTCATGCTGATATAAATGAGGTTCTTGGTATTATTTCCATACCCTACTCTAAAATGATGCTATAAATAGTGATTATCACAGCCTTACATGGTTAAGTCTTGACACAGGTCTTGATGGTGCCAAAATGTCCTATTTCTTGTGTTTGCCAGAAGTTTTTAATAAATCTATTTCCATGTTATAATAGTGGGTTGCCATTATCTCAGCCAGTGTTATCTGTAGAGATTTTGTTATTGTTCATCTGACTTTCCCCTTTTGACAGTATACAAGGAGTAAGACCATTTATTCTCTGGAGCCACCCACAAAGTAAAAAAATGCTGATTAACCAGGTCTCCTTCAGAGCATATTTCATATTGGTTTAAGACTATGATTCCAGAAGACTATACTACAAACTTTCTGATGATGATCACCGATTCCTTCCTATATAGTGGCAAAAATGCAACAGGAGGAAGAAAAATACCCCTGCTTCCCAAACTGTGGACTGGCGGTTAGAGCAGAGATGTCAGTTTGCAATTCTTCAGGCAGAGGAGTGAACTGAACGTGGGTTTCTCAGTTCCTGGGCAATTGTTGCAACTGCTTGCCCATTGTATAAAAAGGGTGCCTTTCCTCTTCTGGGGTTTTAAAACTCTAAGTAGCTGCTGCCTTCTTGTTAAAGTGGGTTGTGTCCCCTGAAAATGCCTATCAAACTGATCCCCTCAGGGGTACTAGGTAGGTTCTGAATCCTGATAAGCTTAAACCCAAGCAATTAACTGGATGCAGGCTCCAAGAGAAAAAAGAAAAAAAATGATCAGGCTCCTCTTTGCTTTTTTCTTTTTTTTCCTCAGTTGTGCCTGCCTGCATGAGCTGCTCCCGGGTCACAGCCCCTGAGCTGCACGGGGCGCAGTGCTTTCCTCAGTGGTGGCAGCATCACTGGGACTGCCCACATGGGGTGTTAGCAGGCAGGTGACGCCTGGGGGGCACCACCACCACAAAGGGAAGGACCAGGGTTCCCCACAGCTCAGGAACTACTCAGCCCGCTGACAGCTTGTCCTGCCCCTCACCCTCCTACCCCCCACCGGGGGAGTGGTAGGTAGGCTCTGGGGGAAAAAAAAGGATCGGGTCCCTCACTGCTTCTTTTTTTTCTGGTGGAGACTGAGGGGTGGGGGGCAGGTGAGCTGATGTGGGACGCACTGTGATGTCATGGGAGTACCTAAATTGAAATGGTGGGTTTTAAAATGACAATTAAAAACCCACCAATTAAAAACCCACCATTTCAATTTAGGGAGAACTAAATCACTGTCACTGTGTGCAAGCACCCTGAAACACTAGGCACCTGTGGAAGCTTCGAGTAAAAATGGAGGTACCTGTGGAGTTTAGGCACCTCTGCGGCTAGGTAGCAACTTAACAACGTTTTTCATAGTTCCGTAGTTGGCAGGGTTGGAAGGGACCTGAGAAGATCATCAAGTCCGACCCCCTGCCATGGGTAGGAAAGAGTACTGGGGTCAGACAACCCCAGCTAAGTGATTATCTAGCCTCCTTTTGAAGACCCCCAGGGTAGGAGCAAGCACCACTTCCCTTGGAAGTTGGTTCCAGATTTTAGCCGCCCTGACTGTGAAGTAGTGCCTCCTGATGTCCAGCCTGGACCTACTCTCAATAAACTTGGGGCCGTTATTCCTAGTTACTCTGGGTAGTGCTCGGGGGAACAGGGACTCTCCCATAGCCTGCTGGTCCCTGCTGGTAAGTTTATAGATGGCCACCAGATCCCCTCTCAGCCTTCTCTTGTAGAGGCTGAACAGGTTCAGATCCCATAGCCTCTCCTTGTAGGGTCTGCCCTGCTGCCCCCTGATCATGCGAGTGGCCCTCCTCTGGACCTTCTCCATGTTGTCCACATCCCTCCTGAAGTGCGGTGCCCAGAACTGGATGCAGTACTCCAACTGCGGCCTGACCAGTGTTGCATAGAGGGGGAGGATCACCTCCTTGGACCTGCTTGAGATGCATCTGTGGATGCATGACAAGGTGCGGTTAGCCTTACTGACCATGTCGTCACCTTGGCAGCCCATGTTCATCTTGGAATTAATAATGACTCCAAGATCCTTTTCTGCCTCGGTGCGGACGAGAAGGGAGTTCCCCAGCCTGTAGGTATGCTGCTGGTTCTTCCCCCCCAGGTGCAGCACCTTGCACTTGTCATTATTGAATCCCATCCTGCTCTCATCTGCCCACCCCTGTAAACTGTCGAGACCTAGTTGTAGCCTGTCCCTCTCCTCTAGCGTGCCCACTTCTCTCCACATCTTAGTGTCATCTGCGAATTTGAACAAGGTGCTTTTCACCCCGTCATCCAAGTCGCTGAAGAAGATGTTAAACAGTGCGGGGCCAAGGACCAGGTTGGTCTGACCAGAACCCATGAACCCATGTTGCCCCTAATGAACCCATGTTGGTTGCTCCTAAGCATAATCTCCCCTGCTGGTCCCTCGCATATGTGTTCCTGGATAATTTTCTCAAAGAGCTTCCCCAGGACCAAGGTAAGACTAATGGGCCTATAATTACCCGGGTCCTCCTTCCTCCCTTTTTTGAAAACGGGGACCACATTGGCCCTTTTCCAGTCCTCTGACACATGACCAGAGTAACACGAGTGCTCATTAAACTGTGCCAGGGGTCCTACAATGACCTCTGCCAATTCCCTCAGCACCCTGGGATGGAGATCATCTGGACCTGCTGACTTGAACACGTCCAGCCCCACCAAAAGTTCCCTAAATAGGTCCTCACTGACCCTAGGCCTGGCAGTGCCTCTGAGTCTATCTGGAATCCCGGTGGAGGGGTGGGGGAGATGTCCCAGTCCCTGCTCAGAAAAATGGAGGCAAACAATTTGCTAAAGAGGTCAACTTTATCATCTGCTGCAACCACTAGATTGCCAAGCATGTCCTGCAGGGGCCCCACATTACCCGGTGCTTTCTTTTTACTCACTATGTATTTAAAAAAGGACTTCTTGTTATCTTTGATCCTGGTCACTAGTCCTAGTTCTGTCTCTGCCTTAGCCTTCCTAACAGCCCCCGTACGGTCCTGAGCAATGGAGGTATAATTCTCCTTGGGGATGGCCCCTCCCTTCCATCGGGTGTACACCTCCTTTTTGCTTTCAGACATTCCTGAATGCCTTTGGTGAGCCATGGGGACTGTCACCCTTTGGGCTCGGAGGATCGTTTCCTTAAGGAACAACCATTCGTCTTGGACTCCCAGCTCCCCTACCCTCTGGGACCTCCGTGCCTCCCTGACTAATCTCCTTAACTCATTGAAATTGGCCCTCCTGAAGTCAAAGGCTGCTGCCTTGCTGCAGGCCTTTGACACCCTGCGCTGGATGGTGAATTCCAGTAGGCAATAATCGCTATCGCCCAGGTGGTTGGGAACCCACAGTCCCCTCATCAGGTGTGGCCAGGACCAGGTCCAGCAAGCCATTTCCCCTGGTGGGACTGTGTACCTCCTGAGTTAGGTGGAGGTCCTGTATCTCTGCTAGGAACCAAGATAGGTGGAGGTCCTGTATCTTGGCTAGGAACTCATTTTCAGGAGTGACATTTTGAGCTAAATTGTATTTAATTGCTTAAGTTCTCTTTTTTGGATCCAGCCCTTAGAACCCAATTCTGTTGTATGTTTAAAGAGCACTGGGTCTGACCTGAATTAAAAGAAATTCTACTATGCAGAATCAATAAAAAAGAAAACCAGAAGCATGGAAAATGAAATCAACCTCCCATGAAACTTGTTTTCCAAGTATGACAGGGAAGTAAATCCTGTCTTTCCACTCTTTCTATAGTGCATCAGTTCACTTATAGGGAGTAGAGAGTTCATGCTGTCTTCTGCACATTGCTAGGCACATTGGGATTTCCTTAAACCATTTTCAGGGGGGCTGGTAGAGGGTGTGTAAAGACTGAAAGAGTGATGTGGGCAGGGCACGAATTTTTGTCCCTACTAACTAGTTTCCTCTGTGGTGCGTTAAGGAAGCCTGGGTATTTTTATGAGACAGGTAGATATCATCATTGTGCTTTTTTTAATAAAAAATGAGGGAGTCAAAGAGGAGCTTTGAGCAGAGGAAAAAGAGCTGTTCCCATACTTTTGACAACCCTTTACTGAAATCCTGATTCCTAGGCATGTGAATAGCTTCAGCCTGCATTCTCTGCCCTTTGGGGAAATGCATCAAACCATAAACCCCAAGTCATCTGCAGTTGTTTCATATGCATATTTATCATTTGTTACTAGCTAAGGGATGACGATGTGCCCCATATTATGCAAAGCACAAATTAAGTCAGATGATAATTCAGTCTAAAAGATTAAATGAGAAGACAGGCTACAGTGGAATGCCTAGAGGATATTTTTCCAGATCTGGTTTTAATAAGACGTTCATTAGATTCGGTTGTGTCTTAGCGAAGCAAAGGCATTATAATAGGTATTTCTAACAATGTTCTGGTATGTTTAGAACAGAAAGCTAAGGTTGAACAACTGGAATCTTATATTTAGAGATCAG